TGAATACCTCACATCAGGGGACACCTCCCATCTCCCATAAGAAGGCACCCCCCATAAGAGGATACCTTTCATTAGTGGATTGGTCCCTTGAAGATTGAATTCTGCTTACTGGAGGTTAAGATGTTGCATAATGTTCTTACCTTGGGCATCTCTCTGTTTTTCTTTGAACCATTGAACAAGAAACATCCCAGAAGATCATACGCTGTCTCCCTGTATATTTCAAAGAATGATATGTGAACAGTGAATGCTTCATGTTGACTATGCTGTTGAATTTTTTGAAAGATCAAAGACAGGCTTTGAGGAATGAGTCCTGCATCTTCAGATCTGAAAAAAAGAATCAGAGTAATCACTTCAGACAGTTGGTAATAACTAATTTACAGTTGAATCCTGATTTTTTTCATAACTTGTTTTCCTGAACCCTACTACAATAGGAAAACTACATGTACAGTAAAAACCCGCATGTAAGAACCTAGCGGTTTATAGGTTTGGGGAGCAACAATGGCACAGTGGTGAGAACACTCTCCTCCCACCAATGTGGCCCGGACTCAACTCAAGAGGTCAATACCATATGTGGGTTTGAGTTGGTTGTTGGTTCCCTCCTTTACTTCCAGAGGTTTTTCTCTGGGTTCTCCTGTTTTCCCCTCTCCTCAAAAACCAACATTTCAATATTCCAATTTGACCAGGAATGGTAGACAAAGAATCACTTTGTTGATGTGCTCTCTCTCTAAATCATTGTTTATTATTTTATTGAGTGACATAAAACCTGATGGCAGAAATTTGTCATTTTCATAACCAAAAATATAGGAACCTGATCAAGCAGATTATCATAAATATTTATGTAGGTTACAGTTAAATTATGATAAACGTTTTAACCACAGAGTTTGACTTAATAATTGTACACTATCTTCATTGCAAGAAACTACTGATAGATAACACTAAATTAACATACATTCTGTAATCAGTTTTAATTGTTAGGCTTATCATGATACAGTTGTGAACAAATACTGTATATTTAAGGAACAAACCCAAGTTTATTTAATAAATATAGGAAAAAGAACTAAAAAAAAATTATCTCCTTCTCACAAAATATGAGCCTAATAAAGAACCTACTTACATGTAGCCTAAGTTGCCAATAACTATACCCAAAATACAAGAACCTATTTTGCAGACTTAAAAGAAAAACAGGTTCTTCCAACTAGCAAGCTAGCCTAGGTGAGATGTCTATACCTCTTCTTTCTTTTTCTTGCAGAAAAGGGACCTTTTCCCTGTTGACTGAGCAACAAGGAAAATAGGAGAGGTGTGCATGCAGGCTGCTTAACAAGGGGGTTTTGTAGTCGCTGAAACCAAAATACACTTTTTTAATTTCATTGTTTGCGATTAGCCTTATTCTTGATAAAGTTACAATTTTCAGTGGAATATTCTCTTTCAAAACTGGACATTTCACATATGTATCTATTCTCTATTTTCATCAAGACTAAAGGATCAATACCGCTATCAACTTAGATTCTCGGTTGTGTCTCAATTCCTTCTTACAAGAGAAGGGGTAGAAAGCGTATTAGTGGGACTACTGTGGCTCGTAACGCTGTTTGAAGACTGTCTGATAATATTATAATTTGGAAAAATAAATAATTTATTTTTTCCAAATTACAATATTATTGGTTTATTACCAGAGTCATTTTATGCCGCTGAGAAGGGGAGATAAACAAAACCTGCATTCTGGTTGGCTACCCGTGGAAGTGGATTTCCTGCTTTGGTCCCAAAAGAAAAATGACCTTTTTGCCATGTAATACATCCTTTACTGACCAAAGATAGCCGGATATTGGCCATGCATTTTTATTTATTTTTAGCCAAGATATCATCTGGGTCCATAAATTGCAAACAAAACAAAAAATTGGCCAATATCCAGCCATCTTGACCTTCCACTTTACGAAAAACATATAGATTAATGTATATTACGTAATACGCACTTTAATTTTCACAAACCCTCAGCAGGGCTGTGCTCTAGAAGAGCCCAGTGGCAAAGCCCAGTGGCCCCTGATGACTAACTTTTGCCCTCGCAGACTAGAAAAACTCAGATTTTTCATACAAATCATATGCTGCGCACCCTAGAATTTACAGTTTCAGAGCACTGGGCTCCCTTCAATTTTCCTTAGAGCACAGCCTTGCTCAGAGACTCAACACATGTCGCATACTTTGATTGATGTGACTATTCCAATTGTCAACAAAAACACACAAACATCAAAATTAATTCCCAAAGCCAAAAGTGTTGATTAAATTGATTAATCAATTTATTGATTAAATTTATTCAAAATCAAGTTTCAACTGGATTCTGCACCAAGGAAAATTTCACCAGAAAAACAAACCCAGATAGAACAAGGATATTAACTTAGAACAACCATGTACAGTACATGAACCGCATGATTCACACGCACCATCACTGAGTTTTCAAATTACCACGTGACATTTCCTTACAAAGCCCGTGAAAATTGTTTGGTTGCTTAGTCATGTCACATGCTCAACAAAAATCCATCATTTTTTCCTTCCTGTGAGATAAATCATGCAAAGGAAGACTCTGCTCACTTAAACAGGACAGCCTGAAAATTTAAATTATTATAAAACCTCTTCAATATTTAAAAACAAGAAATTTGGAATATTCAGAGGACTGAAGTTATCTCAAATTAACAACAATACATAACTTACATTTTTTCAAAATCAGGGCTGTCATTAAGAGCCGGGGAAAGGGGGGCGGGGATTTCCCCTAGCTACTATGAATGTGGTCCCTGGCTAATTTCATTGGAAAATAGAAGAAAAATAGAACCAAAAGAAATCCCTAGCAGTTTGATTCCTTGCCTACTTGTTGCATTTATCTGGCAACTTAAAATCTTAGTGACAACCATGAAAAGTACCTTTCCATGTACAGTATAAAGTAACAAACAACATTCCAACCATAAGACAAATATTTCACATTTCAGAACAATCCACTACAATATTACATAACAGATAAATTGTGTTGACAAAACTTGTTATAATCCTCTTGACCGTAATTTTGCCCTTACAAACACTGACAATATTTACGGAATACAGTTTCCGTAACTACAGTCTTACATGTACATCTGATATGCTGTACATCTAACAATCTTAACCTTGGAAGTAACCTGTCTGGTTTGTTAATATTGTTGGGCAATTTTCCCAACAACAATTACAATGTAGCTGATGAAAGTGATGTTTTTTTCAATCTTACAAACAACTAGTCTTTTATATTTTGATCATATGACAGCCTGTCAAAGAGTGACAGCGAACCGGAAATAGTAGTCACATAGTGGCTGGTTTTTTTTTTGTTTTTTTTTCGTTTCGGACGAAAAACAGCCATCTTGCTCACATGACCTCAATTTGCAATCCCTTCCTGTCACTGCATAATTTTTTGTTCACTTTTACCTGACTTACTGCAGTAACCTACAATGTAAAACAGTCACTTTGTCACAATCTACTGTCTATCCACTATTTACAAATGTACAAGCACAATAATCTGCTACTTAACGACACCTAATAGCAGTTGATAGTCTGGCAACACTCTGAGCAAAATAACTAGGCAAAAATAGATCAAAATGGCACTATATTTCGTTCCATCTGCATGTACAATAAATAATATTTCATTTCTTAATTTGCTTCATTGAGTTGACTTTGACATTTTTTTTCCTGAAAAATAGTTGATATAATTATTATAAGGGATAAAATGTCACTAATTATGTTCACTGGAAACTTGCATGCAATCATCTCAGCTATTTTACTGCAATTGGTGTTGTTTTGCAAGTGGAAAATTCTGCACATTCGTACGTATTCAAAGTATAAGAGATTTAACAAGCTTAAATGTAGTTACTCTAGCTATGAAGAAAGAAAAGAGTCTTGTACAAAGGTGTGATAGTCATAGGATACATTACAAAACACAGTCCAACTTTCTACAGCTGTATGACGTACACTAACTCATTTATGACTTCTTGAATGAAAGTGTCTATGTTCTAATTACCAGGAGTTTGGAATATGCCTAAAACTTAAGCTTAATTAAATATTTTTTTGCATGTGTGGCCGAGCGGTTAACACCTCAAACTCTGGATCTGGAGGTCTGAGGTTCAAGCCTCGCCTGTAACGTTGTTTCCTTAGACAAGGAACTTTACTCCACTTTGTCTCTCTTCACCCAGGTGTATAAATGGGTACCAGTGACACACTGCTGGGGGGTAACCCTGCGATGGACTAGCATCCCGTCCAGGGGGGAGTAGCAATACTCCTAGGCTTCATGTTATGAAAACTAGTATAAGCTCCGGCCGTGTGGGCCTTTGGCTCGTGTGCGCCTTTACCTTATCTCTACCACTTCAGTCATTTAAATTTCACTCATTATGCAATCACCATGATACTATGTATACAGAGTGCTACATGTTAAGACCTAGCCACTTAAAGTTTTTAAGTCTTTTAAACTGAGCACACTCCCTTTCATGCAAATCTCTGGCTATTTTCTCAACTCATAATTGCTAAATGAGGAGATTATTAATTTCATGAAAGTAAACCTTTCAGCAAATTTGAGATGCTTGTTTGTTATTAATGACCACAGATCTTTAAAACTAATTTACATATATAAGCCTTTTTGGGAATTTTTTTCCGGCCGCAAGTAGCGGGTAATCTAGCATTACTAATAAACTATTATTTGGGAAATTTCCTATCCAAAGTCGCGCTAAAACTTGACCTACAATGACGACATCCAATTTTAAGCTGGAAGAAACTCGAGATGTCGATGTCTAGACTTGTTTGTCACTGTTCAAAGAACTCCGTATACAAAAAATAAATTGACGTTAAGGTTTTATACGTGAATAAAACAAAAACCACACCTAATGACTTAATAAGTTTCCAACATAAATAAAAGCTGCTATTAAGCAAATGCCAAATCACTTATTGATGGGAAGTAATAAATTTTAGAAGAAGTTGGAAAGTTAAACGACTTCGACTCTAGCTTACCCGTGGGTATCATAATCTTGTAAACCTTCTGCAGGTCCTTGAATAGTGTACGTCTTTCCAGCGTTGGTTTGCCCGTAGGCAAATATTGTGCCATTGTAACCTTTGAAGAACGCCTCGATAATGTCCTTTGCAGCCGCTTGAAAGACTTGCTTTTGTGACGAGTCAACCCCGAAAACGTCCGAAAAGTTAAATCGAAGAAAGCGCTTTGGATCGTGATCTTCTGTTGGAACTTGGTTATGAGATGCAATATAAAGCGCTTGATCTTCATGCTTGAACAGCTCTTGTTTGATATTTTTAGAGGGCTTTAACCGAGCAAACACCTTGATATTATTGGCCATAAACAAACCTTGGGCTATAAACGGCGTCTCCAATATTCTTCCCAAGTTTCGAGCCAAGCGAGCAGCCGCAAACTTTTTCTGCAGCGAATCATCCGAGTAACTTCTTTGAACGACAATTTATAGCAGGTAATTTAATCGCTTTTTTGTGCAAAATTGGATGAACAAAAGGAATAATGATAATTATTCCAAAGCGTGCCTAATATCATATCGACAATAACCATATCAAATTCACTCATCCACAATGTTGTACGTGCTTCAAAAGGTCAAAATGCGACAGTCATGCCCTCCACGCTATTGCGGCTAAAAGACTGGTGCGAGATACAGCGGACATGCGCAATATAACTGCCTTGAAAACAAAGATGGCGACAAATTAAAGTTGCCTTGGATTTGGTGAAGTATTTTGATTCATAAAAAGTATACGTTAATTCTATATTGATTTCAGATGGAATGGAGTGTTCTCACAGGATATCTCGCCCTTAGGTATTCCGCTATTTAACGACCTTTTAATCCCACGTAATGCTTCGGAAGATATCCGGATAGACCGATTCCGTAAGACCTGGGCTAATACCTGTTAGAGTTTGCTAAGAAATAATTCAAGAATTTCTTCATTTGAACATGGATCTAAACAAAGTTACCACGTACTCAGCCGCGGTCTTTGATCGTATCAAAAGCGCAGCAAAAAATGCGACGGTAACAGCTGTTTCCGCCACTGTAAGTGCTGTAGGCGCTGTAGGATCTCTCATTGGAAATCCCTTGACCAAAGACTTCGATGTTGGAAGACATGTGGCAAGTTTTGGGCCAAACTTAGCGTGGAAGATATACGAAGGGAAAAAGAAGACAACTGGACAGGTTCTCATACCTCATCCTTTTAATCTTTTGCAGTGAAAGTTATTTTTATAAACGGCTAAGTGATTCTTGTTTTTATTTACGCTTAATTTTAATTGGTGTTTATAAAATCAGTTGGTTGACAGGTTACCGGTCGTTTCGATACAAAGTAGTTTTGATAGAAGTTTACTCAGTCAAGCTGTAAATAGTTCCACATACTTGACTTAAGGAACGAAGAATATTCACCCAAAATGTTTTTCTTGTGCACGCACATACTATATTCAAAGTGAAAGAAATTTTTGTGCAATTTCACTAATTGAGTTCATCAGGAAACAGCTTTATCGAAATGTCTTTGTATCGAAACGACCGGTTTGTGGTTGACATACATGAAGCAGTATGTTTTGAAGGATGCTAGCAGGTCCTTTGAAATATACTGTCAAAATGGCCATCATTCAATAATTATTCTGAGCTGATTATTACAGCACCCTCCATCAGTCATTCCCTTAAATCTAAAGGTTTTCCTATATGGTGATTTTATTGATTCAAGCAGGTTATTATTTGCAATAGCCACCTTTCCTGAGTGCTAATTGATGTAGAGCAACAGGTTATTGCTGTGTGCACTGTACCATAAGAATTCATGACCGCTTAAATCAAAAAGAACATAGGACCCTTTTCCATCCTAATGTTTCTTATGATCATCCTCAGAAACGACATGTCACCCTTTCTAAAATATTTCGTTGATCACTTTTACAGTCAACTCTCTCTAAGATGGACAGCTTTGGGCCTGAAATGCCAGGTGTCTGTTTTATGGACCAAGGTGTCCATCTTGTAGAGGTGTCTGTTAAGAGAGAGCTCACTGTATTGATGAGCAACTTACGTGCAGTTCATTTAGGGATGGCAAGTCGAGCTCCTCTCGAAAATTTAAAGAAAAAAGAGGAAAAATTTAAGTCGTTGGATATAGATTAGATCAAAAGGAGCTCACACGGGGGCACACTATGTAGATATGGAAGAGGGAATTACTTCTTTTCCCTTAGAGAAGTCTTTAGACCTCCTTGAGAAAAAAACATTAATTTTAAGGATCCTGAACAGTGTGAACAACCAGGAAATGAATTTTAGGCGTCACGAGGGTGACACCTTTTAGACGTGGCTCTTGACTTGTCAAATTTTACACTTTGGTACCCCTTTATTTTTGTTGTTATTTTTATTACGTAAAGTGCTTTTGGACCATTGGGAATTAGCACTCTATAAATACTGTATATTATTATTATTATTATTATTATTATTATTATTATTATTATTATTATTATTATTATTATTATTATTATTATTATTTGATTAATAGGTTATGTTGCATAAACAGGCATGTGCTAATGATAATCCCTGTCTTGTACTGGAATGATATTTTTCTTTGAGTGTACTTCAGTCAAGAAAAAATTAAGAGACATCTTAATTAAGAGTTTTAAATAATTTCAGAGCTGTCATTAAGAGGCAGGGACTAGGGATTTCCCCCTGCTACTACAAATGTGGTCCCCGGCTTCATGTACTTTCACGGGAAAATAGAAGTAAAATAGAACCAAAAGAAATCCCTAGCTGTTTGATTCCCCGCCTTCTTGTTATATTTACCCGGCAGCTTAAAATCTTAGTGACATCCCCGAATTTTTTATAATTGAGCAACATTTCATGTTGTTTTGTGGATCATCAACCCTTTCTCTCCCAGATTGAATGATGGAGGTTCATAAGGGCTCTAACTTTTGAGTCTGTAGGCAAAATCTATTGGTGTGACCAATCAGATGAAACTTCCTTGGCAACGACATTGCATGAGGCTATGTTTTCAGCTAATCTCTCCCAGATTGAATGATGGAGGTTCATAAGGGCTCTAACTTTTGAGTCTGTAGGCAAAATCTATTGGTGTGACCAATCAGATGAAACTTCCTTGGCAACGACATTGCATGAGGCTATGTTTTCAGCTAACCTGAGGAAACAAACAACATTTCGCGCTGCCACCAATGGTGAAAAATAGCCTGAGGAAACTTACGCCTTTTTGTGATGCCACCATCAGTTTCCCTGCAAAATGACATCTGAGAAATGAGTGCAGAAATTCCATACTGATGACCCACCACCACCCAGATCTTGCCTTAAAAGCACTGCACAGATCTGGATCATCAGTAGGAAATGTCTGGGCTTTCTTCTTAGACGTCATTTGGCGGGGAAACTGATGGTAGCATTGCAAAAAGTCCTCTGTTTTCTCAGGCTATTTTTCAGCCAAGATTAACATAGCCATAAAGTGGATGTGGAGGACATGGGGCGGGGGGGGGGGAAAGCTTTTTTCTAATCTTTGTGGGATGGAGTCCAATTCTCTAATCAAACCTTTAGGGCAAAAATCACCCCCTTCCATGCCCCCCTTATCTAGCAGAGTGTTGGTTTTACTTGCTTTTCAATACATATGTAATATAAAAGCAAAACTGAAACAAACCATTATTATTATATTTTGAATTATTTTTCGTACCTGCAACTAACATTGTCAATGTCCTTTTTATTGCAATCAGGAAGTGTCCTTGGTTGTTCTGGAGAAGAAGCTATTGGACAGAGTAGACAAGCAAGACAGAGATCTGGTAATGGACACAATGAAGAAGGGTCCCGTACAGCTCACAAGATTAAGACATCCTCGGGTGTTGGTTGTTCAACATCCTCTGGAAGAATCTAAGTAAGACATTTTGATTAATCTCAATGTGTGCAATTCGATCATAGTCTAAACTCCCTTAAGCTGAAGGTAAGGGTCAAATTTGATTCCAGGTTAAAATTATTACAGTCTTGATTTTCAATTTCCTTTGTCTTCTGGGGCTAGGAGAAAAAGGAAATAGAGACTAAGTTAAGTCAAAATTAACGTGAAATCAAATTTGACCTGTAACACTGACACCCTTCAGAAACAGAAAAAGTGTCTGCAACTGTAGTAGGCCCTCTTGATACAAGAATTGTTTTTGTAAGTGGAGTTATGCAAACAGGGTTTGTCAAGGCAGCAGCTGTAATATAGCTCTCTGCTTATGATTGCCCATTATTAAAGATAATACTGTATAATGACACTCTGCTTAGGGATAAAATGCATGTGAGAGATACATGTACATGTAATCTGAATTGTCTTCTTTCAAAATTAATGACTTCAGCGTGCAAAGAAAGTCGTGTCCGATAGCCCGGGGCTAGTGGATTTTGCTATCGGGCTAGTGATTTTGGTTCTTAACTTGCCCAATGGGCAAGTGCTGTTTTTTGGGGAAATTCAAATTACACGATTGTAATCAATCCTGCTAATTCAAAAGGGTTTTGGGGCTAGTTGAAATGACTCATGGGATAGTACATGCTATCTACAGCTTGCCCGATTGGCAGGCTGTAAAACTCACTTTCTTTGCATCCTGGACTTATGCCTACATTAATATTTACTCTCATTCAGGGACTGCTTGGCTTTTGCGACTGAACCAATATTCGCAAGTCTGGCAAACATTCTGGGAAAACATGACAACATGCCTTCTCAAATCTCTCCAGAATTTAAGGTAGACATAATTATCATTTGTCTTGTGCATGTTGTGTGTAAAGAATGAGTATGCATAGCTTCAGTGTGAGCAGGGAGGCAAATTCTTGTACCATACAGTAACTGTAACTGTCAAATCTCTTTACAATAATAATATTATTGAAGAGGTGTGTGGTAAAAAGTCGCAATTGGCTTCGCTTCAACTGCCAGATTTTATTCCATGTGCCCTTTAGGCTGTCATTAAAGGCCAGAGACTAGGGATTACCCTCAACTACTTTTAGTATGACCTCTGGCTACTTTCATAGGAAACAAATGGAAATAAAACCAAAGAACATTGTAGCTGTTTAATTCCCTCCTTTAATAATTTAACCCATCAACTTGAAATCTTAGTGACAGCCCTGACCTCTCTAATTTAAATGTGCCATCTTAAGGACACAGCTAGTGACCATTGTAGAGAGATGGCAGTTACAGTAAGTGTACATGTAACTTTACATCTGCTTGATTAATTTATTATTATTTAATTAACATATCAATTAAACTGTGCTTTAGTTTTAACATGTACTTGATATAGCTTATAACTAGCATAAAATTTAATTTTTTTCTTAGACATTTGAGCTGTATGATGTTGAAAGAGTCTATGGATTATATCAGGTTA